AAAAATTAAGACGGTTAGCGCCCCCAAGAAGGTTTTACATTCTTTAAAAAAAATTGTTGGGGCCCTCGAAAAGGTTTCACCTTCTTAAAAAAAGACAATTCGTGCTCCCTAGAAGATTCTACATTCTTAAAATAGACAGTTGGGACCCCTGATAACGTTTCGTATTCTGTAAAAAAGAACAGTTGGAACTCCCGAGAAGGTTTGACCTTCTGCCTATAGAAAAAAAGAAAGATGGGACCCCCGAGAAGGTTTCACATTCTTAAAAAAAGAATTGGGGTCCCAGAGAAGGTTTTACCTCAAAAATTAACACAGTTGAGTCCACCGAGAATGTTTTACCTTCTTAAAAAAACAGTTGGCGCCCCTTAGGAGGTTTTACAATGTTAAAAAAGACAGTTAGGCCCCCCGAGAAGGTTTCACCTTCTGTAAAAAAAGACAATTGGGACCCCCGAGAACATTTCACTCTCTATAGAAAAAAGAGAGTTGGGACCCGTGAGAAGATTCCGCAGCCTTAAAAAATCAATTGAGGCTCCTGAGAAAGTTTCACTTTCTACAGGAAAAAAGACAGTTGGGGCCCTTGAGAAGGTTTTACAGTCTTAAAACAAAATTATTGAGGGCCCTCGAGAAGGTTTCACCTTTTGAAGAAAAGACAGTTGGCCCCCCGAAAAGGTTTCACATTCTTAAAAAAAAAAAACAGGTGAGGCCATGAGAAGGTTTCATCTTCTTAAAAAAAGACAGTTGGTGCTCCCGAGAAGGTTTCACTTTCTATAGAAAAAAAGACAATTGGGTCCCCTGAGAAGGTTTCACATTCTGAAAAAAGCAATTGGGACCCCCGAGAAGGTTTTACATTCTTAAAATAGACAGTTGGGGCCCCCGAAAAGGTTTCGCATTCTTAAATTAAAATAGTTGGGGTCCCCGAGAAGGTTTCACCTTCTGTAAAAAAAGATATTTAGGACCCCTGAGAAGGTTTCACATTAAAAAAAAAAAACAGGTGGGACCACAAGAAGGTTTCATCTTCTTAAAAAAAGGCAGTTCGCGCTCCCGAGAAGGTTTAACGTTCTTAAAAAAAGCAATTGAGGCCGCTGAAAGGTTTCATTGTCTTTAGGAAAAAAGACAGTTGGGGCCCTCGCGAAGGTTTCACATTCTAAAAAAAATAGTTGTGACCCCTGAGAAGATTTACCTTCTGGAAAAAAGACATTTAGGACCCCCGAGAAGATTTCACATTCTTAAAAAGAAAACAGGTGGAGCCATGAGAAGGTTTCATCTTCTTAAATTAAAATAGTTAGGACTCCCGAGAAGGTTTCACATTCTTAAATTAAAATATATAGGACCCCCGAGAAGGTTTCACCTACTGTCAAAAAACAATTGGGACCCCCGAGAATATTTCACTCTCTATAGAAAAAAGACAGTTGGGTCCCCTGAGAAGGTTTCACATTCTGAAAAAAGCAATTGGGGCCCCCGAGAAAGTTTTACATTCTTAAAATACACAGTTGGGGCGCCCAAAAAGGTTTCGCATTCTTAAATTAAAATAGTTGGGATCCCCGAGAAGGTTTCACCTTCTGTAAAAGAAGATATTTAGGACCCCTGAGAAGGTTTCACTTTCTTAAAAAAAAAACAGGTGGGACCATGAGAAGGTTTCATCTTCTTAAAAAAAGATAGTTCGCGCTCCCGAGAAGGCTTAACGTTTTTAAAAAAAGCAATTAAGGCCCCTGAGAAGGTTTCATTTTCTTTAGGAAAAAGACAGTTGGGGGCCTCGCGAAGGTTTCACATTCTTTAAAAAAATAGTTGGGACCCCTGAGAAGATTTAGCTTCTGGAAAAAGACATTTAGGACCCACGAAAAGGTTTCACATTCTTAAAAAAAAACAGGTGGGGCCATGAGAAGGTTTCATCTTCTTAAATTAAAATAGTTGGGACTCCCAAGAAGGTTTCACATTCTTAAATTAAAATATTTGGGACCCCCGAGTAGGTTTCACGTACTTTCAAAAAGACAATTGGGACCCCCGAGAATATTTCACTCTCTATAGAAAAAAGACAGTTGAGACCCGTGAGAAGATTTCACAGTCTTAAAAAAATCAATTGGGGCTCCTGAGAAAGTTTCACTTTCTATAGGAAAAAAGACAGTTGGGGCCCTTGAGAATGTTTTACAGTCTTAAAACAAAATTGTTGAGGGCCCTCGAGAAGGTTTCACCTTTTGAAAAAAAAGACAGTTGATGCTCCCGAGAAGGTTTAACATTCTTAAAAAAGCAATTGGGGCCCCCGAGAAAGTTTTACATTCTTAAAATACACAGTTGGTGCGCCCAAAAAGGTTTCGCATTCTTAAATTAAAATAGTTGGGATCCCAGTGAAGGTTTCACATTCTTAAAAAAAACAGGTGGGGCCATGAGAAGGTTTCATCTTCTTAAAAAACAAAAGTTCGCGCTCCCGAGAAGGTTTTACATTCTTAAAAAAAATTGTTAGGGCCCTCGAGAAGGTTTCACCTTCTTAAAAAAAAAATATTTGGTGCTCCCTAGAAGATTCTACATTCTTAAAATAGACAGTTGGGGCCCCCCGCAAGGTTTCACATTCTGTAAAAAAGGACAGTTGGAACTACCGAAAAGGTTTGACCTTCTACCTGTAGAAAAAAAGAAAGGTGGGACCCTCGAGAAGGTTTCACATTCTTAAAAAAAAATGGGGTCCCAGAGAAGGTTTCTCCTCAAAAATTAAGACAGTTGAGTCCCCCGAGAATGTTTTACCTTCTTAAAAAGTTGGCGCCCCTTAGGAGGTTTTACATTGTTAAAAAATACAGTTAGGCCCCCCGAGAAGGTTTCACCTTCTGTAAAAAAAGACAATTAGGACCCCTGAGAAGATTTCACAGTCTTAAAAAAATCAATTGGGGCTCCTGAGAAGGTTCACTTTCTATAGGAAAAAAGACAGTTGGCCCTCCGAGAAGGTTTCACATTTTTAAATTAAAATAGTTGGGACCCCAGAGAAGGTTCCACCTTCTGTAAAAAAAGATATTTAGGACCCCCGAGGAGGTTTCACATTCTTTAAAAAAAAACAGGTGGGGCCATGAGAAGGTTTCATCTTCTTAAAAAAAAACAGTTCGCGCTCCCGAGAAGGTTTAACATTCTTAAAAAAAGCAATTGACGCCCCTGAGAAGGTTTCACTTTCTTTAGGAAAACCCCCGAGAAGGTTTCACATTCTTTAAAAAAAAACTAGGTGGGGCCATGAGAAGGTTTTATCTTCTTAAAAAAAGACAGTTCGCGCTCCCGAGAAGGTTTAACATTCTTAAAAAATGCAATTGACGCTCCTGAGAAAGTTTCACTCTCTTTAGGAAAAAAGACAGTTGGGTCCCCCGAGAAGGTTTCACATTCTTAAGAAAAATAGTTGGGACCTCTGAGAAGGTTTCACCTTCTGGAAAAAAAGACATTTAGGACCCCCGAGAAGGTTTCGCATTCTTAAAAAAAAAACAGTTGGGGTCATGAGAGGGTTTCATCTTCTTAAAAAAAGACAGTTTGCGCTCCCGAGAAGGTTTAATATTCTTAAAAAAGACAGTTGGGTCCCCTGAGAAGGTTTTACATTCTTAAAAAAGACAGTTGGGTCCCCGAGAAGGTTTCACCTTCTGTAATAAGAAAGACAGTTGGGACGTCCAAAACAATAAATCGTAAAACAATAAATTAAACAGTGAAACTTGAGTTTTTTGATGCAAAATGATTTTGTTTTGATTTTTCATTAAACCTGACCTAAATCTTCAAGGCAAAGAAAACCGTCTACACTAAACTTCTATAAAAAAATACAGTTGGAACCCCCAAGAAGGTTTTCACATTCTTAAAAAAACGGTTATGGCCGCAGAGAAGCTTTCACATTAAAAAAAAAGATGGGCGCCACCAGATGGGTTCAGATTCTTAAAAGATAGTTGGACCCCCGAGAACGTTTCACCTTCTTAAAAAAAACATAGTTGAGGCCTCCGAGAAGGTTTCCACATTCTCTAAAAAATAGATATTTGGGACAACCGAGAAGGTTTCAGCACCTTAGAAAAAAGACAGTTGGGGTCCGCACAAGTGTGGACAATATGAAATATGTATATTTAAAGCAGATAACCAACCGGAAAAAATTTATATATTCTCAATTTCTCCGTACACGCTTTAACTTCGACTGTTTATGTTTATATTTCAAAAAAATTCTACTATTAGCACGTTCAGATTATAAACATCCGCAGAAAGTACTGATTAATTAATTAACCACACTTAGTTTTTTCCCAAAAAAACTCATAAATTAGAAGTAGAAACATGGTACTCCAATAACCTTAAGACACGTTTTGCAATGTCAAAATTAAACTTTGATTTTTTCCCAAAGATAAAAACTCAACACGGATTCATAAATTTCAACTTCAAAAAGAGTTTTTTTCTGAACGGTGTCAAAATTTTTAAAAAATACTAGATTAGGGTGTGACTACCGTCGCAATGCTTTGAATGCTTTCGTCCACACTTTGAGACTCTACGAGTGTTTTAAGTGTTCAATGATACTCATTTTAATTTTAGCAACGCAATAATAGTATGAGAATAATAAGACTGACGTCACCACTTGCTGCATCGCTGGTTCTTTCTAATAACACGGTAAATTGCAAATTTTAAATATAATTGTTCACGAAACGACTGCTATATCGTTTTTTAAATAGTTTTAATTGTACGTAAATTCATTAAGTAGTTAAATTTGGTTGCAAAATAATAGGATGAAAGGCCTTTAACAACACAACTTTAGAATTTTGCTGACTTACATAACAAGCAAAATAACGCCAATTAACCTTTCACAATGAATAGTCCACAGGTTTTTGGCCTCGCTGTTTAAATATACATGGCATTGATTTTTATGACTTTTTTTTTACAGAACGGAGACGTTCGCTCCTGAAAAAAAATTCATGAAAATCAAGATAACACGCTTTGAGATAGTTTTACAATCTAATTAAAACTAATTTACTTCATAAGTAGCAAATAATTATTAACATAAGTGACTGAAAACTCACCTTTTGTACTAAATCCGCCGCCTCGTCAAAATACTGATAAATCCTGGTATTCCCCGAGTCCAGAATAGGTATCTTGTGATAAACGACATCACTTCTGTGCAGTGGCGTATCCGGCAATTCCGGAGCCGCATTTATAACACAAGCGATATTGAGCGCATCAAGGACATTAGTGTTGACAGTTGAAGCAGAACACAGAATTAGGTTTTCGGTTAATTCGGAGATGGTTCCCGGCAGCAACAGCATCATCGATGGTGATCTTGAACTGAAAAGAAATTGGAAATTCAGAATGTGAGGTATTTCGCATTTCAGTGCAGCTTTCAGCACCGCAAATTTGTTTGTTTATTTGTGCAGTTAGAAGCGATTTACAGGATAATTTAATAAAACCAACGATTCATCAACATAATAAACTCGCAGTAATTTAAACGTTGGCAAGGTTTCTGGGGCAAATTATTGGGATGCCTTTAGAGGAATGTGCGTTTTTCGTCGTGTCTTTGACACTTTAAGACGAAGATTTTTTGTTTGGGATGACAACGTGGGGTTATATTTAGCGAGTTACAACAATCGTTTTTAAATTGTAGCTAATGCTGGGCTATTTCGACTAGTGACTCAATGTAATAATAAAAAATACGATGTTACGATGTTTGCACACTAGGATTTTTAAAATAGTGGAGGTGTTACGAAACTATGTATCATTTATTTATTGAGTGAATTGGATGGGTAGTAGATTTCGTAATAAATAAGCAACCGTGAGCGACTTTTACATCCAGTTACAGATTTTTTTTGCACTAATTCGCGATTAACTAGAAATTATGTCTGTTTTAATGACTTTACGACTCACAAGGTTTTATTAGATGTTTACTGCGTAATGATGCTTCGCCAGATGCCAGTTCAAAGCAAAAGATAAAAATTATATTAAATAAAACTTCTTTTGTGTCAAAGAAAAAAGCTTTCAAAATAAATGACAAATGAACAGTAGTCACACTGAAATTACAAATTTATCCTACCGTGTTAAATTTTGCAATTATTCTGATAAATATTTATATTAAATATAAAACCCACAAACAATACATTCACAAGTTTCAACAGATTCTTTGTCCTTCAGTACTTCAGCCAGTGAAAAATTAATTTCCTTTTCGTAAATATTTAATGAAAAAACTCTCCAACCTGAAGTTTAAAATCTCATCTACAACCATTAAAATTGAAGGCCAATGTCGGAATTAGCTGCCATCAGCTTAGGTGATGATGAAGAAGAATTTCAAACAAGTCAAAAATTTGGGCAAAGTGACAATGGTGTCATTAACTCTGTGCTCCAAGTTTATTTTTTCGTTATGTCAACCCAAAGTTGGAAGGAAAAGGATGGCCAAATGATGTTTGGCATTATGTATTTCGTAACTTTGTTTTACCTTGTTAAATTCAACAATATTTAATAACACTAAAAGAAAATTTCAAATACCTAGATTCCTGAATATGATATAACAAGCAACGTAAGAAAAATTGCGATTTACAAATTTCAGCAAATAAACATCACATTTTACCACTAACAGATGCGCAATTATAAATATTCTACAGTGGCTATTGTAGGAATCATCTGCAGATTTTTTCAGAAAGTCGGGATAGTTGGCGAATTGACAATGCCGTAACGAAATCTCTCACATAAAATACATTACTTATGGACTTCGGACTGTCGACTGAACGTTAACTTAACAATAGGTATGTGATTATCGGTTAAAAAAATAAAGCACTTATTATTTGAATAAAAAGAAGCACTACAAAAGAATATGAAAAATTAATTAGGACTTTCAAGGCGGAGAAACTTATAAAAACAAAGATATCCAAATACAATTTAGATTTATTAATATTAATGTTTTGCAAAAAATTTAAAGTTGTTTTTAAGTTTTATTTACATTTTTATATATTTTAGTAGTTCTCATACTCATCCTCGTTACATCTTCTTTTTAATCAAATAAAAAAAAAATAATAATTTTCGGACCGTTTTGCTGTAATAATCAGTCCACTCCTCTGGTTTGGAAGACAAAATCAGTCAAATTTCATTTTCTTTTATGCGGCGGCTCATGCTTGTACGTGATTATAGTCGAATTCTTTCAAACATAAACACTCGAAGTTAACCATGTATGTAATTACTAAGTGTTCACTTAGCCGTTGGTTATCCGGTTTAAATATATTTTCTATCGATCGCACTTGTGCGGACCACGGTACCTTGGAAATTGTGTCCCCGTGGCGGAGAGGTTGCGAGGGATGTTATTTACGTTTTTGCCTACTTCAATCAGTATATATCAGAAGCGTGGGACCATAATACGCAGGTGGACTGTATTTACCCAGATTTCAACAAAGCTTTTGATCAAATAGACCATCATATTCTTGTTCATAAACTTAACTTATTTGGCTTTTCCAATTCTTTAGTATCGTTATTCCAATCTTACCTACTTAACAGAATTCTTTTTGTCAAGTACAGGAATTTCTTGTCCAATACCTTCTGTCCTACTTCGGGTGTGCCACAGGGTTCCAACTTAAAACCTCTGCTCTTCGTGTAATATATAAACGACATTACAAATGAGTTCTCATTTGTTCTTTCCTGTTTTCTCTTTTTGTAATAGTTGAATTAATTACTTTTGTTTTTGTTATTTAATTTGTATTTTGCACTTACATCTAATTTTTATATACTGTACATTTAATTTCCTGTAATTGGGTACCATGCCCGTATTATTATTATTAATTATTATTATCATTATTTTCACTTTATTAAACTATATGTAACATAGTAGCTAGTACTTGCTAAGATAAGACTGATTTTGGAAAATGACATAACCTATAAGAAAATAAAGGGTGGGTGGGCGGGGCTAGTACCGGCTAAGATAAGACTAATTTTGGCAAATGATATACGATCTACAGGGCGAATGAGCCGGGCTAGTACTTGCTAAGATAAGACTGATTTTTAAAATGACGTTCCTTCTAAGAATTTGCAAATTTAATCACCCTGTATTTTTCAATTTTTGACGTTTCAACTTCTAAATTTTTAGGTTAATCGATTTTTTGAATTTCCCAATTCTGGATTTCCCAACTTTTCAATGTTTGATTTTTCAGTTCAGTTTTTCAATTTTTTGATTTTTCAATTTTTGGATGTTTCAGTTTTAAGATTTTTCAATTTCTCGATTCTTCAAATTTTCGATTTCTCGTTACTTAATTTATCGATTTTTCAAAATTCAAATGTTTCAATTTTAGTATTTTTCAATTTTTCAACTCTTCAAATTTTGTATTTAATTTTTTTTTTCAATTTTTGACGTTTCTAAATTTTCAGTGTTTCAACTTTTCGGTTAATCGATTTTTTGATTTTCCCATTTCTCGATTTCTAGACTTTTCATGTTCCGATTTTTGAGTTCAGTTCTTCAATTTTTCGATTTTTCAGGTTTTTGATTTTTCAATTTTTTTTCTAACTTAATTTTTTCGACTTTTCGTTTTCTCGATTTTTTAGTTTTTTGACTTCTCAGTTTTGAGTTTTGAGTTTTGAGTTTTGAGTTTTGAGATTTTTTGGATTTTTTATTCTCCGTTATTTCGATTTACCAATTTCTCAATTTTTCAGTTTTTCGATATTTCAGTGTTGGAATTTTTCAATTATTTCAGCTTTCTCGTTTATTTCATTTTAAGATTTTTCAATTTCTCGATTCTTCAAATTTTCGATTTCTCAATTACTTAATTTTTCAATTCATCAACTCTTCAGACTTTTGATTTTTAATTTTTGTTTTTTCAATTTTTGACGTTTCAACCTCTAAATTTTTCGGTTAATCGATTTTTTGATTTTCCCATTTCTGGATTTCCCAACTTTTCAATGTTTGATTTTTCAATTCAGTTTTTCTATTTTTTGATTTTTCAGGTTTTTGATTTTTCCATTTTTTTTTTCTAACTTCAATTTTTCGGCTTTTTGTTTTCTAGATTTTTTAGTTTTTTACTTCTCAGTTTTCAGATATTTGAGTTTTGAGATTTTTTGGATTTTTTATTCTCCGTTATTTCGATTTACCAATTTCTCAATTTACCAGTTTTTCGATATTTCAGTGTTGAAATTTTTCAATTATTTCAGTTTTCTCGTTTATTTCATTTTTTGATTTTCCAATTTTTCGATGTTTCAGTTTTAAGATTTTTCAATTTCTCGATTCTTCAAATTTTCGATTTCTCATTACTTAATTTATCGATTTTTCAAAATTCAAATGTTTCAATTTTAGTATTTTTCAATTTTTCAACTCTTCAAATTTTGTATTTAATTTTTTTTTCAATTTTTGACGTTTCTAAATTTTCAGTGTTTCAACTTTTCGGTTAATCGATTTTTTGATTTTCCCATTTCTCGATTTCTAGACTTTTCATGTTCCGATTTTTGAGTTCAGTTCTTCAATTTTTCGATTTTTCAGGTTTTTGATTTTTCAATTTTTTTTCTAACTTAATTTTTTCGACTTTTCGTTTTCTCGATTTTTTAGTTTTTTGACTTCTCAGTTTTGAGTTTTGAGTTTTGAGTTTTGAGTTTTGAGATTTTTTGGATTTTTTATTCTCCGTTATTTCGATTTACCAATTTCTCAATTTTTCAGTTTTTCGATATTTCAGTGTTGGAATTTTTCAATTATTTCAGCTTTCTCGTTTATTTCATTTTAAGATTTTTCAATTTCTCGATTCTTCAAATTTTCGATTTCTCAATTACTTAATTTTTCAATTCATCAACTCTTCAGACTTTTGATTTTTAATTTTTGTTTTTTCAATTTTTGACGTTTCAACCTCTAAATTTTTCGGTTAATCGATTTTTTGATTTTCCCATTTCTGGATTTCCCAACTTTTCAATGTTTGATTTTTCAATTCAGTTTTTCTATTTTTTGATTTTTCAGGTTTTTGATTTTTCCATTTTTTTTTCTAACTTCAATTTTTCGGCTTTTTGTTTTCTAGATTTTTTAGTTTTTTACTTCTCAGTTTTTAGATATTTGAGTTTTGAGATTTTTTGGATTTTTTATTCTCCGTTATTTGGATTTACCAATTTCTCAATTTACCAGTTTTTCGATATTTCAGTGTTGAAATTTTTCAATTATTTCAGTTTTCTCATTTATTTCATTTTTTGATTTTCCAATTTTTCGATGTTTCAGTTTTAAGATTTTTCAATTTCTCGATTCTTCAAATTTTCGATTTCTAATTACTTAATTTATAGATTTTTCAAAATTAAAATGTTCCAATTTTAGGATTTTTCAATTTTTCAACTCGTCAGACTTTTTATTTAATTTTTGTTTTTTCAATTTTTGACGTTTCAACTTCTAAATTTTGCGGTTAATCGATTTTTTGATTTTCCCAATTCTGGATTTCCCAGCTTTTCAATGTTTGATTTTCAGTTCAGTTGTTCAATTTTTTTATTTTTCAGGTTTTTGATTTTTCCATTTTTTTTTCTAACTTCAATTTTTCGGCTTTTTGTTTTCTAGATTTTTTAGTCTTCTCAGTTTTTCGATATTTGAGTTTTGCGATTCTTTGGATTTTTTATTCTCCGTTATTTCGATTTACCAATTTCTCAATTTTTCAGTTTTTTGATATTTCAGTGTTGGAATTTTTCAATTATTTCAGTTTTCTCGTTTATTTCATTTTTTGATTTTTCAATTTCTCGATTCTTCAAATTTTCGATTTCTCATTACTTAATTTATCGATTTTTCAAAATTCAAATGTTTCAATTTTAGGATTTTTCAATTTTTCAACTCGTCAGATTTTTTATTTAATTTTTTTTTCAATTTTTGACGTTTCTAAATTTTCAATGTTTCAACTTTCCGGTTAATCAATTTTTTTATTTTCCCATTTCTCGATTTCTAGACTTTTCAATGTTCCGATTTTTGAGTTCAGTTCTTCAATTTTTCGATTTTTCAGGTTTTTGATTTTTCTATTTTTTTTTTCTAACTTAATTTTTTCGACTTTTCGTTTTCTCGATTTTTTAGTTTTTTGACTTCTCAGTTTTTCGATATTTGAGTTTGAGATTTTTCAGTTTTTTTATTATCGAATTCTTTTTATTTTACTTTACCTACTGCTTCTTACTCTGCACGTTTTCTTTTCTTTATTTAAAGGCCAACCTGCTACACTGTGTCACGATAGACTCGTTTTGGAATTAAATTTTCCAAAATTTTTCGATTCTCGATTTATCCCATTTTTGTTTCCATATTAACCTGCTCTTGAGTTAAAATTTTAACTCATATTTCTATCTTTAATTAAAATTCTTTATGAATATGTTTGATATTTGTCTTCAGGTGTGAGGGAAGTCCTAGACCAATTTTATACAAATTTTTGTAGATTTTTTTCTGACCATTTCCTAACGGCAAGTACATTCCAGACCAAATATAAAGAAGTGTATTTTCGTAACATAATGCATTCATCATAAGCAGTGGCGGAGTGTGGGTGATTAAAGTATATGGTACGTTAATAAATTCAGAATTATTTAACGAAAGCTCCTGTGTTTAAATGAACTGGTAATTAAATAACACATCTATTTAACAATATTTCGGTTAATGTTTACAGCACACTTAAAATTTCAAAGTGATCGGTCCGCTGGTGGCAAATTGTCTGTTTGATAAAGTTTCAAAAAACAGATGACAAACAGATGAACGGAAACAGAAACCTACATTTTGTACACTTAAGTGTAGGAAAGTGCCAGGACACATAAAATTTGGCATTCATCAAAATGACCCTCTTATAATGCTAAGTTGAGTTATAAATCGAGAACTAAAAATTTTAAACCGAAAATTATTACCCAAAACAAAATTTTTTGTAAACAATTAAGAAATTCATTACATATTCCCCAAAAATTATGTAGTAGAACCGATGATTTGATCTATTTGTTTTAAAAAAAGTGCTGTGCCAGCTGAATTCGCTCAAATCATATGAAAAGGAAGAATATTTTTAGGCAGAAAAAATAAATGTGTTATATATTTTATCTGAGTTAATATTTCTTTCACTATGATATATGTGTGTGATCTCGGGAATCGTAACAGATAGGAGTTAGAATGAACTGAAGGAAAAATAATTAACCAAACTGACACGGCTAGCACCATTTTCAAAAATTGGGAAAAGAATTGTTCGTATATAAATATTTATTCTAATGTTTTTCAAATATTACAGAATTTTGAAACGAAATATGAAAAATTAATAATACATGTATAACAGTGAATATTACTTTATGTCAAAAGGCAAACCTAAAAATCACAAAGTGGGATCTCAGACGTACCCACTGTAATTTACAAAAGATTAATAGTTGTTTTCAAAATGTAACTGTGTAAAAGCGGACTGCAACGTCTCCAAGATAAAACAAAGTTGATGAATTGCGACGCGAAATTTTTTGGACTTGGAAATTATTTTCTAAATCTGTCATACCTACTATGTCATAGCTCAAAATTTCAAAACAACCGCATCAAAACAAGAGTGTTCGTCAACTTTTAAATCTTTTAAAGAAAGAAACATAATAAATGGAAAAATATGGTAAGAAAAGTTGTTGTTAATAAAAGGAAAACTGAAAAAACACTGAAACACTGCAGCAACAAGGAGGGAAATGAAAATAAAGAATGTCATTAAAGAAAACAAGATAATTAATGACTTGAATTGTAAATATAACTAATAGTTCTGAAGTATTTTATTCTAAATATAAAATATTTACCTCGATCGTGTAAATATCACTTATCTATTACCATATTTGTTGTTAATGGAAAATGAACATTTAAATGTAATCAAAGCCGGTCTTAATATGCATTTCTAATCATCGTTTTTTATCACACTGTATCTAATTTTAATTATAACGCAAATGCACTTGATAAGCGCGTATATAATTAACTTAATGTTTATAAAATTAGCCACCTACATTAATACCTGCTATCTCTGAGCCAACTGTGCTTCATATCTTCCAGTCAAAAATTTACTTTATTTATCAACACTTCAGCATTTTTCGTGTAACAAAGCAAATTTCGACTTACTTAATTTCCACACTGTCGCACTCGGCAAAAATCTCCTCCACCGTATTTTCCTTATAATCCCCGAAGGCCTCCGCACCTGGGATCAACTCCTCGATTTCCATTCCTCACACGTATCTCAAAAACCCGCGTCCGACTTGGCCAAAATCGGCAAGCAAAATTCAGCGAGTTTTCAGTGAAAGTATTCGAAACAAACCACTGAAACGCTGCCAAACAAACTGAGTCATAGAATCCCTCGATTACCTGAGGTTTTAAACCGAATCAAAATAAATGCGGACATGCGCGCCTGAAAGCGACATTCCATCGCCAAATATTTGTGTAAACACTACATTCCATCCTTATATATTTTCAGCCGGCCTGAAACGACGACGACGACGTCGACGACGCACAAGTATGTTAAACTTCATGTTTCTTCGCGAGCTATTATAAAGCGGGGCTATATTTAGCACACAGGAAACTGGGATTGGTTCATTCATAAGTGAAAAACTGTTGTTTTTGACTACGGTAATGGATTGATGAATGGACATGGATCAGTCATCGGGTGCGAGTGGGCTTCAGGTGATTTTCAGGGGCTCGGAGCGAACTTGAAAATTATATTTGCGCCCGAGCGCACCTAAATAAATTCTTCGTCATAGGCACGAATTTGTCGGTTTTGCTCCGTCAGGTGTTACGGAAGCCTTCAGGTGTTTTCCCGAAATAATTTTAACGTCGAACAATGTATTTTTGTGTTCTGCGGGTGTGTGGTTGCGTTCGGGTGACTGTCTAGGGATCGAGGAACATTTTTTTAGAAGTTTGGGTTCATTTTAATGTCAATTTCAATGCTCAAATTTCAATATCTCTCGAAAACTTTGAATACCTCAAAATATTTGAACACTATATCTCGATAAATCGAATTTTCAAAAAAATGAAGATTTTTATATTCACTGGTTCCTGGGCGTAGCAACTCTCTTTCGGATGTAAAAATGAATTTTAGGTGCAGATATTTTCATATTTTGTGACAAAACACTGATAAACGTGACAAAATTAAACTGTCAGTGTCATTTTTACATCCCAAAAATAGGTCGCCCGTTTCCGTATATCTGTCCGTCTGTCGTGTGTCCATTTTTATTAAACAGACAATCTTTGAAATTACCGGACAGATTATTTTAATTGTATATTGTATTAGTAATATCGCTAACTACACATGGAGATTTTAGCAAAAAAAATCAAAATTGTGTATATAACAATTTTCAATTTTTCGGTTTCTAAATTTTTCGAGTTATCAATTTTTCGGCTTTTCGATTTCTCGATTTTTTCATTTTCGCATTCTCAATTTTTCGATATTTGAGTTTTAAGATTTTTCGGTTTTTTCATTCTGTAATTTTTCTGTTTATCAATTCCTCGATTTTTCAATTTTTCAGACAATCGATTTTTTGATTTTCCCATTTCTCGATTTCTCGACTTTTCAAAGTTTCGATCTTTCAGTTCAGTTCTTCAATTTTTCGATTATTCAGGTTATTGATTTTTCAATTTTTTTCTCTAATTTAATTTTTTAGTTTAATTTTTTAATTTTTTGACTTCTCAGTTTTTCGATGTTTGATTTTTGAGGTTTTTGAGTGTTTTTATTCTCCGAATTTTCGATTTACCAATTTTTCGATTACGCAATTTTTCGATATTTCAGTGTTGGAATTTTTCTGCAAATTTTCGATTTCTCGTTTATTTCATTTTTTGAATTTTGAATTATTCGATGTTTCAGTTTTCAGATTTTTCAATTTTTCGATTCTTCAATTTTTCGATTTTTCACTTTCTCGATTCTTCAAATTTTCGATTTCTCAATTACTTATTTTATCGATTTTTCAAAATTCCGATGTTTTACTTTTAGGATTTCTCAATTTTTCAACTCTTCAGAGTTTTGATTTAATTTTTTTTTAATTGTTGACATTTCTAAATTTTAAATGTATTAACTTTTAAATTTTTCAGTTAATCGATTTTTGATTTTCCCATTTCTCGATTTCTCGACTTTTCAATGTTGCGATTTTTCAGTTCACTTTTTCAATTTTTCGATTTTTCAGGTTATTGATTTTTCAGTTTTTTTCTCTAATTTCATTTTTTCGACTTTTCGAATACTCGTTATTTAAGTTTTGACATTTTTCGTGGCTTTTATACTCAAATTTTTCGATTCCCCAATTTTTCGATATTTCAGTGTTGGAATTTTTCGAATTTTCACTTTGTCAATTCTTCAAATTTTAGATTTCTCGATTACTTCATTCTCCAATTTTTCAATTTATTTTTTCAATTCTTGATGTTTCTAAATTTTCAATTTTTCGACTTATTAATTTCTGGGTTAATCGATTTTTGGATTTTCCCATTTTCCAACTGCAATTTTTGTACTTTTAGATTTATCGATTTTTCAGTTTTTTGATTTCTCAATTTTTCGATATTTGAGTTTTTAGATTTTTCGTTTTTTTATTCTGCGATTTTTCAATTTATTAATTTCTCGATTTTTCAACTTCTCGATTACTTAATTTTTCGATATTTCATTGTTGGGATTTTTCAATTTTTCGATATTTAAGTGTTGGGATGCTTTAATTTTTTGATTTCACAAATTTTCGATTTCTCAATTACTTACTCAATTTATCGATTTTTCGAAATTCCGATGTCTCAGTTTTAGGATTTTTCAATTTTTCAAATCTTCAAAACTTTTTTTTCGATTTCTGACCTTGCTAAATTTTCAATGTTTCAATTTTTAAATTTTTCGGTTATTCGTTTTCAGATTTTCCCATTTCTCGATTTCTCAACTTTACAAAGTTTTGATTTTTCAGTTTAGTTTTTCAATTTTTTGATTTTTTTTTTCTAACTTCAATTTTTCGACTTTTCGATTTCTAGATTTTTTAGTTTTTTGACTTCTCAGTTTTTCGATATTTGAGTTTTGAGATTATTCGGTTTTTTGTTGTCCGATAATTTAATTTACCAATTTCTCGATTTTTCAATTTCTCGGTTCTTCTAATTTTGGATTTCTCAATTATTTAATTTATCGAATTTTCAAACTTCCGATGTTTCAGTTTTAGAATTTTTCAATTTTTAACTCGTCAAATTTTTTATTTTTTCAAAATTCCGATATTTTACTTTTAAGATTTCTCAATTTTTCAACTCTTCAGAGTTTTGATTTAATTTTTTTTTAATTGTTGACATTTCTAAATTTTAAATGTTTTAACTTTTAAATTTTTCGGTTAATCGATTTTTGATTTTCCCATTTCTCGATTTCTCGACTTTTCAATGTTGCGATTTTTCAGTTCACTTTTTCAATTTTTCGATTTTTCAGGTTATTGATTTTTCAGTTTTTTTCTCTAATTTCCTTTTTTCGACTTTTCGATTTCTCAATATTTTTCATGGATTTTATACTCCGATTTTTCGATTCCCCAATTTTTCGATATTTCAGTGTTGGAATTTTTCGATTTTTCACTTTGTCAATTCTTCAAATTTTAGATTTCTCGATTACTTCATTCTCCAATTTTTCAATTTTTTTTTCATTTCTTAACGTTTCTAAATTTTCAATTTTTCGACTTCTTAATTTCTGGGTTAATCGATTTTTGGATTTTCCCATTTTCCAACTGCAATTTTTGTACTTTTCGATTTATCGATTTTTCAGTTTCTTGATTTCTCAATTTTTCGATATTTGAGTTTTTAGATTTTTCGGTTTTTTATTCTGCGATTTTTCAATTTATTAATTTCTCGATTTTTCAACTTCTCGATTACTTAATTTTTCGATATTTCATTGTTGGGATTTTTCAATTCTTCGATATTTAAGTGTTGGGATGCTTTAATTTTTTGATTTCTCAAATTTTCGATTTCTCAATTACTACATTTATCAATTTTTCGAAATTCCGATGTTTCAGTTTTAAAATTTTTCAACTTTCAACTCTTCAATATTTTTATTTTTTATTTTTTTTTTTCGATTTCTGACGTTGCTAAATTTTCAATGTTTCCACTTCTAAATTTTTCGGTTGATCGATTTGTGATTTTCCCATTTCTCGATTTCTCAACTTTACAATGTTTTGATTTTTCAGGTTTTTGATTTTTCAATTTTTTTTCTAAGTTCAATTTTTCGACTTTTCGATTTCTAGATTTTTTAGTTTTTTGACTTCAGTTTTTCGATATTTGAGTTTTGAGATTATTCGGTTTTTTATTGTCCGATAATTTAATTTACCAATTTCTCGATTTTTCAATTTCTCGATTCTTCTAATTTTGGATTTCTCAATTATTTAATTTATCGAATTTTCAAACTTCCGATGTTTCAGTTTAAGATTTTTCAATTTTTAACTCGTCAAATTTTTTATTTTCATTTTTTTTTTCAATTTTTGACGTTTCTAAATTTTCAATGTTTCAATTTCTAAATTTTTTGGTTAATCGATTTGTTGATTTTCCCATTTCTCGATTTCTCGACTTTTCAATGTTGCGATTTTTCAGTTCACTTTTTCAATTTTTCGATTTTTCAGGTTATTGATTTTTCAGTTTTTTTCTCTAATTTCCTTTTTTCGACTTTTCGATTTCTCAATATTTTTCATGGATTTTATACTCCGATTTTTCGATTCCCCAATTTTTCGATATTTCAGTGTTGGAATTTTTCGATTTTTCACTTTGTCAATTCTTCAAATTTTAGATTTCTCGATTACTTCATTCTCCAATTTTTCAATTTTTTTTTCATTTCTTAACGTTTCTAAATTTTCAATTTTTCGACTTCTTAATTTCTGGGTTAATCGATTTTTGGATTTTCCCATTTTCCAACTGCAATTTTTGTACTTTTCGATTTATCGATTTTTCAGTTTCTTGATTTCTCAATTTTTCGATATTTGAGTTTTTAGATTTTTCGGTTTTTTATTCTGCGATTTTTCAATTTATTAATTTCTCGATTTTTCAACTTCTCGATTACTTAATTTTTCGATATTTCATTGTTGGGATTTTTCAATTCTTCGATATTTAAGTGTTGGGATGCTTTAATTTTTTGATTTCTCAAATTTTCGATTTCTCAATTACTACATTTATCAATTTTTCGAAATTCCGATGTTTCAGTTTTAAAATTTTTCAACTTTCAACTCTTCAATATTTTTATTTTTTATTTTTTTTTTCGATTTCTGACGTTGCTAAATTTTCAATGTTTCAACTTCTAAATTTTTCGGTTGATCGATTTGTGATTTTCCGGTTTCTACTAGTGAAAAAAATAGTATATTAACCACGGTTGCAAAGCCACTTCTAGACCTCGCACTTAGAGCCCTCGACGCTGCGCGTCTCGGGTTCTAATTT